GCTCCTTGTTTGGAAATGATGTCACAAGAATAAAGTCAAGAGCTGCAAATTCAGGACGGGACCGTACAATAAAGTCCCGGACATCCAGGATCCTGAAAAAAAAATATTGTTATACAAAAGGTATATTTAGAAATTTTTACTTCGAAAAAAAATTACAGAATTTCACAACCAAACTGTTAAAAAGACCAACAACAGTTATTATACTGTACATCGTTATCCTCAAAGTGGTTACTCCAGAGAATAAGACATAATTAAACCAAAAGGATTCTTACAAAAGCAAACAGATAACACAAATCTTACACTGAGATAAACTAGTAGTATAAATGAAACCAATTAGCATATATATGGAAATATTTTTAAAACAATGGAATTTGTAATTTGGGGAAGTATTTGAACTTCTGTTTCTTTTTTGGTCTTTTTGAGACAGGGTTTCACTATGCAGTTCAGGCTGGCCTTGAACTCACTTTGTAGCCCACGCTGGCCTCAAACTCACAGTGAGCCTCCTGCCTCAGCTTCCTCAGTGCTGGGATTACAGGCATGTGCCACCACGCCTGGCTGAACTTCTATTTCCTATTATCTCTCTTTTGTTTTTCATTTGTGTTTCTCATATCAGAGAAACCATATGAAAAACCATATCTTGTATGTCTGACTCATTTTACTGAACATTTCTATGCAAATTTTTGGTTAAACTCAGATCATCATGGTTGAAATTATACAATTCCAACTCTTATTTCGGCAGAAGAATTTTTCTTAGCCTTAAATTAAAACATAAAGATTAACTTTGGAGTGTTCCTGACACTTTTATTGTAAAATAGACAATCTACAGGTGGAATATGAACACAGTTAATTACTAACAATACTGCTTTAGTGAAAATGCAAGCCCTGCTTTGTTTCACAGTATGAACTACATTAGTAGCGTATAGCCAGGAAAAAGGTAACTGGGTTGGCACATGGCAGGATGAGTCTAAAGTGTAAATTATGAGTAGTTTTTAAAAACTTCTCTTGCATATATATAGCAACTCAACTAAGATCATAAATGCATTCCTTAGGGTCTTGCTTCAATAAATAAAAAGATTTTATGTGCACAACAAATTTCAGTGTCCAATATTAAAGGGACATCTAAAATAATTTATTTGAAGTACTGGATAATATTATTAAGCGGTATCTACACTATACATATTTGCATGTAGAATTTTTTCACACAGGAAGTTTATCCCAATTAAAATTATCATAACTCCTTTAAGGTTGTACTATGTTGGACTAAATCTAATTCTACTTCATATGGTTTTGTCGACCATGCGAAAATATAGTTCTTGGTTTATTTTTGTGTGGATCTGAATTTACAATAGTATGTGGATGGTTTACAGAGATTAACCACTATTTCACTCCTTATACACAGCTGTTATTCTTTTACTTCTTCTGATAAAAACATTTCAAAAGTAAATAACGAATTTCATATTATAATTACTTAAATTGTATACAGTTTTATTTGTGTAACAGCAAGCTCTAGAAAGTTTGCTGGTAAACAAGCTTACCTGTGTGTACTATTGAATCTTTGTATCAAGCGACTCCCATCTGCTAACCTGACTTGAATTTTTGTAGTTGGCACTGAATCATCAATAAGAACAACCGCATTAAGTATGGATTTGTCCTCTTCTTCTGGGGAGGAAGGTGTGCTAACTATTTCAGGTGTAAGGCTAAAAAGGAAGGGTTTAAGATTTAGAATACAAATCTGAATAAGTATGACATGAAAAATGACAATAAATACTGAGATGTACAGTTGACCCTTGAGTGATTTCTCATAATTTCTGAGGTAGCAAGAACATGGCTTTCTTGAGTGTCCTCTACTTCTTCCAGCTTCTTTTGTTACACAGTATTAAAATTCCTTGGGATTCTATGGTTCTATATCTAGTATCTCTCAGAAGTCTAACTTTGCATCCTTTCCACAATTACCTTTTTGGAATGTCATCAGACTACCTAGCACAAGAGTTGTGACATCAACTTTAATATTTAGCTTTTAAATTCTTTATTACTTAAAACTTTCCTGTTATTAAATTCATCAGACCATAGTGACATTTTTACATACTGTTTTGTTTCATTCAAGTTTTAGATTAAAAAGAAAATTATTATCATCACTCCTAAACAATAGAGTTTAACAGATATTTATAGAGTATTCATATTGTATCTGGTATTATAAGTAATCTAGGGATGAATTAAAGTATACACGATAGGTGCAGGTCATAATACATCTTTGCCTCACTTTAACTAAAGGGATAAATTTTGAGAAATGCAGCATTAAGTGACTTCATTATTGTGTGACCATTATACAGTGGGTTTACAAAAGCAGAGAAGATTGTATAGTCTGTTGCATACCTAGAGTATAAATGTACATGGCATAGCCCATTGCTAAGGCTGTGATGAACAAAACAATAGGAGAGTAATCAAACATGGGAGAAAACGATGTAATCAATAGATGTGGTAAAGATGAGATGTATAAGGCCACTCCCAGCATGACACAGTATACTGCTTTACAGTAAATTTCCATAAAACCTCTAAGTTCATAAACCAGGAACAGCCATTTATTATCAAGTATTACGTAGTATACAGAGGTGTATGTGCTCTATTCTCGTAAGACTGGCACTGAAGAGGTTTATACCAGCATCGCCACAAACACAAAGTGCTACACAAACTTTTCAGCTACAATTCTATGGGCCTGCCACAGTATATGTGGTTCTCTGTATTGATGACATGCTGTTATGCAGCACCTTTCTGTACTGTGCCACTTTATATACAGGACTTCAGCACCTGTTTATTTTCATATGCACAGGGTCCTGGAACCAAGCACCTGTAGATACTGAGCAACAGCCACTGCACTTGTACAGTGAAAGTGATTACTGTGTGGCTACCAAGGCGATGGAGCTGTTCGGCTCTTCTAGCACAGCCCTGATGGAAAGTTCCAGTGTCCCCAGCTTCGTGGGCACTGAGCGCCTGGCGGGGAGCAGAGATTTTCTCTACAATAGCGTTATTTTACGTTTGTTTCTCCTGACCAAGGAAAGCTTGGTCTGCTGCGTCTCCTAGTTGCTAATCACTAGCCAAAACTCTTAAAAAACTCCTTAACTAAAATAGAAGCAGATTGTGCTATTCTACAATCAAAACTCTGTTCAATATGGCTAGCAATTAACATGGCACTCTTAACACTGATCTCTCTTCCATCGGTTTCTCTTTCCCATCATTTTCTCAGCTATCTGCTTTACAAAGGCTGGCCTTCGTGAGATACTATCAGATAACAGGCTTATATTCAGGAGGTGAATTTGCAGATTATGAACAATGGCTCCTCTCAGCTGTCTTTCCTTTATGCCACCCTCTTTGATTTAAATTGACTTACTGTATTAAAACAGATTACATTTTAATATCAATTCTTGGTTATAAATTTAAACATGCAAATATGGCAAAGAAATTATTCAGTATTTTACTTGTTCCCATTAAAAATCATAATCTCAATAAACACCATATTAAAAATGAGAAGGGCTAGAAGATTAATGGGAGGGTTCCTAGTCATAACTTTAAATAAATAAATCAAACAAATAAAAAAAAAAAAGTCAAGAAGGAAGAAGCCTGACCTGGCTGGCAGGTGAGAGAGATAAGGAAGAACATTTCTAAGGAGACCCATGATTTAAGAGTCATGAGTTTAAAACAAAAAAACAAATGAACAACCTAGGTCAACATATCTCTCTGTATTTCTTATATATTCCAGAAGGCCATCTCTACTAGCAGAAAAGAGAACAGAAGGGGAGCCTGGAGACATACAAGTATGAAGAACCCATACTAAATTTCTTCAATTTTTGAGAAAGGAGAAGGGAAAAGACTACTATTGTACAAGGCATTAAAGTGGACTTGGAAAGAATCTTGAAAAGGAATAAAGGATGCACAAAGTGACACACTGTGGCAGCAGCAATGCTATAATCCCATATCTCCTGCAGTAACGTGGGGACAAACAGAGGGTAACTTTTAACAACACATTCTATGTGTTTATGAAAATTGTATCAAGCCATGTATGAGAACTCCACTCATACATTCTGCAATGTCCAGTGAGTTTTAAACCGTGCTCTTCCAAGTCTTAGGAGCTCTTTTGAAATGTCTCAAGAGGCAGATCTCTTCTGCACTACAATCAGAGGCTCAGGTTTTAGATACAGGGCTTCCATAGCTTGAAAAGAATTTGGCTATTTCAAAAACCATTGAAAACCACCACTCACGTGGCAAGAGCTTAGTAATTACTTAACGCAGTCACGAATGCTTCAAGTGGTGAAAGATACCCACCTTTTAATCTAATCAGGGGCCTTCTACAATCTTCCCTTTTGAAACCATGTCATCTAAAAGAGGCATGTGACATAATGCCAGTGTTTCAGTCCCTCATTTCCCAGTTCAATCGTCTTGAGCAAATTATCACCTCTGCAAAATGGAGTGCTAAGTGTCCCAAAGAGAACCAATGCACATGAAGTGCTTGTGCTACCTGAAGGTGCTAACTGCTCAGTACTAGCTACTAATATTACCAGATTTGTACAGCTGATTGCAACAGAAAAGTCTTCACTTCACATTTCACAGACCTTTCTGAGTCTCAAAGTTCATGTTGAAAAACAAAACATTTTTCTCACTGTAGTTTTTTACCTTCCAAGTTTTTGTCCTTCTCCACTGAAAGCCTTGAACCGCAATCGCGGTTTTATGTACTCTTGATCCTGGTGATCCTCCATATCTAAGTTCACTTGGCCACCATGAACCAGTCGCTGCAGCTCCAAGGGGATCTCTCTTAAAAAGATGGGGAAGAAGTTTAGTTATGTTTTTAAAAACACTGAACTACACTGTTGAGATTATTATAATCAAATTATGATCTATACTGCAAAGCAGTAATTTCTGTTTAACTTAAAAATTTCCACGCTGACTGATCAGTCTGTGTAGGTCTTTCTTCAAGTTACTTCACACTGTTCCTTGGTGGTTCTCAACACAGAAAAGTTTTGCCTGTTAGAGTGACCGTGGAGTGCATTTAGAAAGTTAAAATATAAGACAGCAACTGATACCTAAGTTAGCACCAGAAAATTTCCATGACGGTAACTAATGTAAACTTATTTTCAAACTTCCTTGAGGAAGCAATGAAAACTGACATATGTGGTTTAATCTTCGGGTACTGGTTAGTGCACTACTGTAGCATAGTGTGAGGGGCAGGGAGTGTGAGAAGCAAGGAAATGAGGCATTTGTCTTGAACAATGAAGACTGCTTCTGGGTTCCACAAAATCAAGAGTGCCCCGCGAGAGATTCACACGGATGACAACACTGTTGCAATGGCTGAGCCTAAAACTTACATCTGTCCTACAAATAAACAAAAAGCCGCTTTGGGAGTATTTTGTTAACATACTTTGAAATTTCCAGGAATGTGTCTGCCATGCAAGCTGAGGAAAGGCTGCACTGTGCTTTGTGTGGAACTCAAAAGTCCTTGAATGCAATGCTACCCATAGTAATGAAGCTCACAACTCCATGTACCTCAGTATTCTATTTTATACCTGTCACATTCACATGAGCAATGCTATCCTTCAGAGAGGCATAAACTAATGACTTCATACATCTGCTAGTGTGGTCATACTTGGGCACTTATAAAGTGAAATAGCTACCAGTTTCCAATAAGGTAATCTCCATTATTTAATATATTTAAGGTAGAAGTGAAATTGTATCAATTTTGTGAGAAAAGATGTGCACTAGAAGATCATACTGTCCATAAGTTTTTTTTAGGACAGTGAAGACAATAATACAAAATACTGTAAGAAGGAAACAACAGATCATATATAATTGAAACCACTAACTGGTATCATTCAATTCTTCCAGAAGCCTTTTCTAAAACTCTTCTTGATCATAATTTGTACTTGGTGATATGGCTGAAATCTAAAAATACTAATATACCATTTGTCTGAACATTAACCTACAAAGTATATGAATTAACAAAGTTAGTTTTGGTCTTTATTATAGAATCAAATCATCAATTTGTTTTCATCTACCATCTGGAAATTAGCACCAATTTTAACAGCAAGACTAGTTTTCACTTAGCGTTGAACACTTCCTCATTCATTTGCTCTCAGTTGTATTCAGTGACTTTGCAAATTTTCAACTTCATAGTATTGACTTAAACTGTTATATCCAAGTATTTACCACCCGTAGTGGCTCTCAGGACAGCTTCCCACCTTCCTCAATGATTTCAACACACTATTTATAGCATTTCTTATCTTTGCTCAGTAGGTATCTTGACATTATCTAGGCAGAATTTATTTTTTAAATTAAGTTTATTTGCATAATTTAGATATGCATAATGATCACATTCATCATAGGGAAATTTAGAAGTTAAATATAAAATTCATGCTAAGTCATCTGAAATGCCTTCTCTTCAAATTTACTTGGTTAATTGAACTCTATATAATTTCATTCCCATTTCACTTCAGGTACCTTCCCTGAACATATTTCACCTTTTGGAAAAACTTTACCTTCAGTTCCTCTATGGAGTATAATCTATTCTGGTTTCATTAACCTTACATGTTTAATTGTATTTCTACTTGGGAACGATCCAACTGACAATCAGTAAAACGATAATGCTGAAAAGTCTTTATTACCATAGCAAAGTCACTTGATTCCCTAACTTTTAGCAAGAATGTGAATTACAATGTTCTTGTGATGGGCAACAGCATTGTGTATTTGGTTCATTTTTATAAAATGTAATTTCACACTAACATTTTGAAATCTTGCCAGCATGTGCTTGCTTCAGCAGCACATACATTAAAATTGAAATCTTGCCAGTAGTAAGGGTACTTCAAAAGATTTCTAATACAAGCTGCTGAGTTTCAGGTATATTTACAGTGATGCTCATGCTGTCAACAGTAACAGGACAGTGACCTGGTGGACTGACAGCAACATACCAATCACTTCATTGATTTATTACATTAAAATGTTTCTTCTTGCAGTTGACTCCACAGACTCATCAGATTTGAAAAGAGAGTGACATCCAATGCTTCTTCCCCACAAAGAACCAGAATAGCCACCTCCCTAGCAACCACCATGGAATATATTCCAGTTACCAATTCTTCAAAACTAGTAGTTGACTACTGAACAATATTTTGTTTAAAAAAAGCCCCATTCTAGGTAACAAAATACAAATAATACATCTTACCCTCTCTTAACAGACTCTAAAAATTGAGCATTTGTTGGGTCATTATAAGGTCTCAATTCTCCATCATCTAAACTGAAACCATTGCTCCACAGTTTAAGCAAAATCTGAACCTTTTGGACATAGAAAATAAGAAGAATAAGAATCCATCTCCATCAAACAATTTAAGTTGCAAATGTGATTATCTCACAACATACTATATCATTTACATAAAATACAGAGACATGGAACTGGCTGGGCATGGTGGCACACATCTGTATTCCCAGCACTCAGGAAGCTGAGGCAGGAGGACTGTTGGAGTTTGAGGCCAGTCTGCCAGTCTGGTCTACAAAGTGAGCTCAAGGCCAGCCTGAACTGTATAGTGAGACCCTGTCTAAAACAGATCAAAAAAAAAAAAAAAAAGAAGGAAAGACAGAAAGAAACTGTACGTTTGCTTAGCAGATTTTTTTTAGCTTAATTGACAATGGTTATAAATACCAAAGGTCCTACGGGTGGACCCTGGCCTTAAAGTACAATCACTCATGGTTCACTGAGAAAATTAAAGCAATTAGAAGACAGCACCCAGCTGATGCATTACTCCCACCCTGGTCCTTTGTCATCCACATCCTTCTCTGGTCCAGAGCTTACTTGTGCCAAAGGCAAGAATTAACTTCCAGTGACATTCCAAGAAACTATAAATGTTTAAAATGAAATTATAATTCCAAAATTTCCCAAGGAAACAGAAACAGTGATGTCTGTAGGTGTTCTAAATTTATAACTCACCTTACACTATCACAGTATGCAATTCATAATTATTACAAACATGAAGGGTCATTCTGATGGTGAATTACACATTCCTTTCATAGTTAAATATACCTAAGTCAGGACTGAGGAAAAAAAAATTGAGACTGAAAACTCACACCCTGGTTCTTTTAATCCACACTTAAACAAACAATAGAAAACAAAACTAACAATAGATTATATTTACATTATTAATTTTTAGAAAACAACAGGAACTACAAATACATATTTTCATTTTACTTACATCTTGCAGCTGATTTTCTCCATATATATATTCAGACCGTTTGCAAAAGGAATTACCCAGTCTATATCCTCCACCTGTAAATGACTAAAATATGTTCCAAGTGAGTTATAAATTCACTAAGGCTTACTTATCAAAATATCATTATTATAGCTGATATATTTTAAAACTAGATATATCACAATTAGCCAAACTAGTTGCTAATACAAAAAATTTATATTAGAATAAAGGTCTTATATCATAGAGAAGCATACTAAAAAAATTAGGTTTAGGTTTCCTTTCAGAAAAACATTAGTAACTCAGAAGTTGAGTTAATTTAGGCAGATCTTTTTCTTTTCTTTTTTTCTTTCTTTTTTTTTGAGACAGGGTATCGCTATGTAGTTCTGCCTGGCCTTGAACTCACTATGTAGACCAGGCTGGTACTGAACTCACAGTGATCCTCCTGCATTAGCCTCCTGAGTGCTGGGATTACAGGTGTGCACCACTACACCTGGCAATTTAGGCAAATCTTAAAACAAGATACACATTTATATACTGAAATATACATTTTCAAGTATATATAGATTCACAAAGGCCACTGTATTTTATGACAAGTCTTATAATAAATTATGATTAAAATATATTTCATGAAGTTAAGAGTTTCAGAGTAAAGAAATTTTGTAAGGAGGTATAAATTACTAGCCATTAGGAAAACACAAATTAACATCATTAGTTATTAGGAAAAGGCAAATTAAAACCACACTGTGTTATCCTAACACACTTATCAAAATGGCTACAATTAAAAACAGTAATACCAAATGCTGACAAGTAAGCAGAGAAACTGGACCTCTCATACATTATCAGAATATAAAATGGCACAACTATTTGGAATGGGATACTATGAGGAATACAAAGGACAAAGAACCGATACACAACAATAACTATGATGGATCTCAAGGACATTCTGTTGAGTGAAATAATACTCGCAAAATAACATCTATTATATGATTCCATTTGTATAATAGCCCAACATTACAAAATTATTGACATGGAAAAAAAGATTAGTGGTAGCTAGAGACTGGGGTGGTGGGAGACAAGGTGGTGGGTACAATGAGAGAGAGCTTTGTCATAACAGTATCTTGACTAAGCTGATTATTACACAAATCTATACATGATAAAATGATATAGAGCTATACATACACATGTACCAATGTCAAACTCTTCGCTTTGATCTTGTGTTACTGTATAATCATATTAAATGGAATCATAAGGAGAAACTAGGTGAAAGGTCTGTAGACTTTCTTGTGAACCTACAATTATCTCAAAATTAAAAAGTAAATTAAAATTTATATAGAAAAGAAACTGTCTCAACTTTCAATCAATAATAGATTACAGTCTCATAAAAATGAAACAAAAATTGAAAATAGCATAGTTAGAAAAACAATGTTTATACACAACCAAAAAACTAATGGAGATCAAAAACAGAAATGATTTAATTTTAAAATAGCAGACCTTTGATTTGTCATCACTTGAAGATCTTGTGGCTTCATTCAAAGGGATAGCCCCATGCTCCTTTGCTTCTTTGAAAAGTTCATTCACAATTTTCCCAGTTGAAGGTCGGACTATACGTAATCCGCTATATTCATGTTCACCTGAATAAAATCTTTAAACATTTCATGAATAAAACTTAGAATAATAGACAAACTACTTTTGAGAAATTAGATAATAAATTACATAGTCCTACTTTTACTTTTAAAAAGGTATTCCTAACCGGGTGTGGTGGTGCGTGCATGTAATCTCAGCATTCAGGAGGCTGAGGTAGGAGGATCATTGTGAGTTTGAGACCAGCCTGGGCTACAAAGTGAACTCGAGGCCAGCCTGAACGGCACAGCGAGACACTGTCTCAAAAAGACCAAAAAAAAAAAGGTATTACTGACTCCTTTGAAAATATCTTTTAAAATGAGATTAAGGAGAAGATCAAATAGGAGACAGTTCATATGCTTTTGCACTGAATTTGCAGAGGTTCTGACAGCAAGTTCATCATTCAGCATGACAACTGGTGGGTCTGCTTACCAAATGCACCTCTGACAAATCAGTCTCTTCTGAAATAGTAGGGAAAAGCAATGTCAAAAAGCAAAGGATGGTACCTTCTCCTCAAGTAATCCACTCAGTAGAAACTGGTCACTGAAAATATCTCTAGATTTAGACAGTATAACATCCAATACTAGACTATAGAACTACAAAGGAAAGGTTTACTCCTCAGGGATTTTTGGTTTGAAAAAGAACTACTCCAGCATACCCGCCCCCCCATGTTAAAAGTAAAGAATTTAGCCCATGTACAGTGTACTGCTTACGTAGTGACTAATTTCTAGTCACTTGATTCTAACTTCATAAATGTTCCTAGGGAACACAAATATTTCTCTTACCTAAGATTAGTACTCTATTTTTTATCTTTCAAGATTTTTTTTCAAACTTGGATATAAAATACTACAACCAATGAAGTACTATCACAAACACTTCCAAAATAAGATGACAAGGTTCACAGATCTTTCCATACCGTTATTCTAGTTCCAAGTTCACCCCGAATTGATTCACAAAACAATTCAATGGGAGAAAACTATACCTGCACTGGAGATTAAGAGTGACGGTCCCCTTTGAGACTGTCTATAGAATTAACGTATGACAACTGAATGGAACAGAGGGAAGAGCAGATCAGCTTTCATTTCATTGTCAATGAAAGAAAAAATCCATGTGGAGCTGTAGGGGATGGTGACTCTTAACTTACCATTTTTAAGATAGAATAGTTTTAGCCTTAGTACAAGCCTCAAAATGTGTCTTGAGAAACATCCTGGAAGGGCTGTAAAAAGTTAACTTTGCAGTTAATTTTTCCCTGGAATGCTTCTCCAAAGACAAAGAACACCCGCGCCCAGATAACCACCTATGACCCGGCCTGGGTTGTTTCCTCCCTTCCCTGGCCCTAGATAAACATTGTAGCCATAAAGGAAATGTACGGTTATCTAAAGGGGGACATATAGAACAGAGTACAGAAATATAGTACAGAGTACACAACCACATATCATTGTGGTTGTGTTCATGACCAGGCCCTGATCTGGTCAGTGGGACAAGGAAAACAACGTGTGGCCAGGGCTACAACATTACTATGTTACCATGGAAACCAAAAATGTATATAAGGTGGAAATAAAGGCAGGCAGGGGCCCCATGTTCCTGACCTGCTAGTTGGGGATGTGCAGTGACCGGTGTAAAATTAATAAACTCTGTTTGTCCTAAAGAAAGTCCTTCAGTGTCCTGTGGAATTCAGCCCACTTGCCGTTACAGAGCCAAGTGGACACCAGCAGAACTCAATTGTGCGAAGGAGTCTTTTACCTTACCAGTACTCTGAAGTACACTGGGCCCAAGTTTACTTAGAGAAGGAACCTCAGATTCCTCCCTCACCTACAGAGGGTCAAGGACAGCAAGCAAGAGTAAATGCTGCCCTGGGTAGCTCTTTAAGCATTCATATTATAGAAGGAGCTAGATATCTGATGATTTCAGGAAACTATGACAAACACAGAATAGGAGTTTCCTGCTGCAGCTATCCCTATTGTAGCTCCTTCGCTCCCTTTTCCAGGTCTGTAAACTGGCAATGTAAGTAATCCTTTCTTTTTATCTCAGTCTTCTTGAGAAAAAAAACCTTAGTAGAAAAAAATCAGGCATAGGAAAAGACTTATCAGATGGTCAATGGCTTTTATCACATGTTTAAGAAATCTTTTCTTACCATAAGGTCATGAAGATACTCTTCTCTTGTAGAAGCGTAATTGTATTAACTTTTATATTTAGATCCACAATCCATATAGGACCAGTGTTTGTGTGTAGTGTAAGGGAGATGTGAAGAATTATTTTTGCCCATGTAAATGTCCATTTGTACAATACCATGTAATGACATTCTCTCCCCTCACTGCTCTGCAGCATCACCTTTGTCATAAACCAAGCAGCGGAGTGTCTGTGATGTTGAATTCTCCACCTTGGTTTACTGGCTTACTATCAGTCCTTACCAACTACTGCTGTGCTGCTGTAAGTCTTTTATCCAGAAATATAAGTCCTCAACTGTAATTCTTCATGAATATACTGGCTATTACTTTTTGCGGGGAAGAGTGTGGATTCAATGATATTTACTGACAATTAAAGTGAACCTCTATGTTCATATAAACAAACTTATCAATGAAAATGAGTAAAATATCCCTTAATTACCAGAAGGATCAGGAATAATAAAACAACTTTCAGTTACTAAAATACTTAGGGATCCCTTTATCAGTCCCAAGTCTCCAAAATCCAGGAACTTTGAAAGGTAAGGCTGGTAGCTACTGTATTTTTATTTATTCACTCAGCGAATACCTGCTGAGTGCCTGCTATAACACAAAGCACTACTCTATAAATCTGGGATCCAGCACTATAAAACAAAGTCTTGCTATTTATAGAGCTTGTATTAGCAGGCTAAGCCAGACAAAGGACAAATAACATATATGATTATTTTTGACTCTACAATATTTTCATAAAACTGTCAGAACTGATCAATTTTAATTTAAAACTATTTTTAAAACATGGCTCAATCTGGGAGAACAGATAACTTTATAATACTAAATTTTCCAATTCTGATGTATTCTTCATTTGGGTAATGTGTTATGGTTTTCCGGTACTGTTTTTTAAGTATTTGTTAGATTTATTCCTAAGTACTTGATATTTTTAAATGTAAATGCTATCTTTTAAAAAAATTTTTCTAATTACTTCCTATTATACATAGAAATGAAATTTATTCCTGAACACTAGCTGTATACTCAGGATCAGAGAGCTTATTAAAAATACTTTGAAATCAACTAGTTTGACTAGTCTTTTTGTAGTTCACTTTGTATGTAATCACATCAGTGAAGAGAGAGAAGTCACTGCAAATGGTATACTTACGTTTTTCTCCTGTCATGGTATAGATCCTCCAGCATAGGTTAAATGAAATTGTGATGGCTAGCTTAGATGTGTTCCCAAATTCAGAAGAAAATCACCATTTCACTGTTAAATGTAATTTTAAGTATAGGTTTGCTATAGAGCCTTTAAAATCAGATTAATTTAATCCCTTTATTTTCATTTTGCCATTTTTTAAAGTTATGAATGTAGTAATTATTGCTTTGTATATTTTGAGGCTGTATTATCAAACTTAGAACCATTCTATTTTCTGGATAGATGTTTATCACCAGGAAATTCTCTTTATTAATTCTTCTTGCCTTAAGGAATAAATTGTCAGGATGGGCATGGTTGTGAATGCCTGTAACCCCAGCACTCAGGAGGCTGAGGCAGGAGGATCACTAGGAGTTTGAAGCCAGCCTGGGCTACAAAGTGAGTTCAAGGCCAGCCTAAACTGTACAGCAAAACCCTGTCTCAAAAAGACCAAAAAGAAAAAAAAAAAAAAAAATTTGTCACAGTTTCTTAAATTCAACCTGTGCTTTAACTAGACTATTTAGATGATTTATGTGTGTTATAATTACTATTATATTTGTAATTTAGTTATGCTTGAATTCAGTTCTCATTCTCTTACTTTTTGACTTCTGATGAATTAGTCAAATACTGTCTTACTCCCCTCATCAGCTAGTTATGATTTTGTAATTTTTTTTTTTTTTGGTACCAGGAATTGAACTCAGGACCTTGCGCTTGCTAGGCAGGCGCTTATGCTACTGAGCTATATCCCTGGCCTGTGATTTTATTTTTAAAGGTCCAGTTCTGTGCTGGGCATAATACACACTTTATTTCATTTAATTCTCAAAACAACACCACTATACAAAAACAAGTAGAGGACATTTAAATTTTGTGATATGTAGTCTTTTGTGGATGAATCCATTAAAGTGTGTATTAGATTATATTTTCTTTGGATTATGTACCTCCTTTTGTAAATAGAAAACAGACTACATTATGTCTAGAAATTTAAATAATGAAACTATACTGGTTTAAAAAGACAAGCAGCACATTGTCTTTTTATTTCTAATACTGAAAACTAATAATGAATAAGAAATGTGTTCATTTCTAACACTGCCCAAGGAGGTAGACACGAAAATAAGCACCAAACAAATCAGCAAAAATACAATGAGACTGGGTAAATGTTGATACTCAATATAAAAACAAGGGAGCTATACGTGTACTTGTGCTTAAGTGCTAGAAAATATATTTAGGAAAAAATGTTGTCAATAACTTGTTACACACTGTACTGCACGTGATTAACAGTCCAAAGTGTCAGCATCTCTTAAGAAAATAGATCCTTTGGATATATAAATAACTCTAGAAATCAAATTGGAGGCACAAGGACCTTTAAAACCACATCATAATTTGGGGATGTAGCTCACTGGTAGAGTGCATGCCTAGCATGCACAAGCCCTAGGCTTCAACCACAGCAACCCCTAGCACCAAACAAAGCAAAACAAAAATAATACATTATCAAATTAAATTAAGAAAAATAGTTTCATGTATAAAAAGGAAAACTGCTAAAATATATTAAAGATTGTATATGAATAACAAGGAAAATATAGATATACCAAATTTTATTGGAACAACCCAAATATTTTGATTTGCCACCCCAAGAGTAAGTCAAGTCTCTCAGCATATGGTCAAACTCAGGAAAACAGAGGCTGAATACTCAATGAGTAAAATTTAGGTACACAAAAATATATTACGTACTTTCAAAATTTGGGAAAAAGCATAAAATAAGGAAGCAGCTAAAAAAAAAATGTCTATGAGGTATAATCAAAAAATATGGTGAGTATACATTTTATTTTAATTACAATAAAAGACATATTACCATTAACCCCCCTCAAAATACTTCCCCTCACTTTGACTACACTTATCATTCTTTTACTATTTAATGTTTATTTTATGAAAAAAATTTAAACAATGAGAATAATAGTTAATACACTATGTAACACTATCTTCAAAGTGGTTACTCAGAGTACAAGACATGTCACTTTCTGAAACAGTTCTGACAGTTCTTTTGCCTGAGTGTCTTCAGTTGTGCTGTAGAGACTGCCTTGATGTCTTCAACTGATTCAAACTATTTACCTTTCATGATTATTTTGAATTTGGGGAAGAGCCAGAAGTCACAGGGTGTCACATCTGGTCAGTGTCGTGGACTGGGGACACACAATAATATTTTTACAAACTAAGCGGCACCTCAGCAGCAGCATTCACTGCATTTTGCTCACACTGCATAAAGATATTCACAGGAGCTCCCACGCTGCTTCAGAAAGTGGCAAGAACAGTGGGAGATATGTGCTCAAAGCAAGGGAAAGCATTTTGAGGAGAATTAATGGCAACGTATCTTCTGCTGCAGTAAATCTTCAAAATTTAAGGATTCATTGTATATTTTGATTATTATACACAAACACATACACAGTCTGCCAAAAAATGTATTATAATCAGGAGAAGAGAAACTTGCATGTTTTAATATTAAATTTATCAAGATATTATGAGATTAATATAAGTTATATTTGGCCTCTACAATTATAAGAGGTGCTCAAAGTTGTGGTGAACTGAAATGTAAATACATTTTTTTGGAGTCTCTCTCTCTCTCTACACACATACACAGACACAACAAATTTGAATACAAATTAGAACTAATGGGCAGGGTATTCAAGCCATGCCAACACACCAGCCTGCTGATTACAAAAGAAAAACTGTACTTTATAATGGAGCAATGTGGTCGGCAGTCTGTACCTTAACCAGGTGAATGCGCCACCAATTCTGGAAAAACTTGAAATTATATGGCTCCTGATGTAATATAATAAAAAGCAGACAATATCACCTGTCTAGCATTGACAGAAGCATTTAAGAAGAATCTAAGTATAAGCAAACACTAGAACGTGGGACATTCTGTAAGACGTGTAGCCTGATTAGACCACTGGTGGTAACCCTATGGCATGTGTGTTGCAGCGGGCTGCTTCGTATCACCGAAAACTCTAAAAGGTGCGTCATCACCGCTCTGAACTTTCCAAAAAAGACAATGTAAGAAACTTTATTCAGGTAAGCAAAAAATAAAAACGTGGGGAGAATGCGTGGGACTCACAAATTCAAAACAGGAATCATCAAATACAACTCAGGTCTTTGGTTGTATCCTGACTCCCAAAAAAGACTGTAAGAAATCTGACTATAGACTATATAGTAAGTGATGTCACAGAATCACTTGTTTTTCTCTGCAGTACTGGGGACTGAACACTGGGGTACTCTATGCTCAAACTACATCTTCAGCCCCCTTTTATTTCTGCTGTTGTTGTTGCTGGGGATTGAATGCAGGGTCTTGTGTGTGCAAGGCAAGGACTCTACCACTGGGCCGCATCCCCAGCCCAGCTCTCTCTGTTTTGAGATAGAATCGAGCTAGCTAAGTTGCCCAGGCTGGCTTCAAACTTGGATCTTTCTGCCTCAGCCTCCCAAGTAGCTGGGATTATATGCATTTGCCACTGCACCTGGTTCAGTGTTAATTTTTTATGGTACAGTATGTTATCAAGCACTTTCTATCATGATGGGTATAATATTCTTTCAAATAGTTGAGTAAAAATGAGAATTAGCATGCACAAGTGCAAAGTTATAACACACTGATAATTGGTAAACACAGATGAAGTATACTTAGTATTTATTCACTGTACTAACCTCTTGATTTTCTATAGGTTTCAAAAAAGCAAAATAGAAAGTTGGAGAAGTTAAAAGCACTATTTTTCTTTTCATTCATGTCAAGATATGTCATTTTCTCACCTCTCCTACAAAAGGTGTGTAGTGACAAAGTAAGAGAAACAATTTCCGACAAATTTTTAAACCTTTCATAAAATTACAGACTTTCTGAGAATGAGATATCATCAGAAAATTCAAGTTTCTCCCCAGGGATAAGATCTGCAATACTAAAAAAAATGTTATAGAAGTATTCATAGCAATAAAATATGCTTGATTCTCATCTCTTCAATCTCCACAGTGGTACAGGAATAGCAAATATATCCAAAAGGTCACTTACTAGATAGTGTCATATAACACCGGGACAGACTTCAAAAGTTAAATATCCTTAAATGGAGGAAAAAAGACCCATGGATAGATGGGCTTTAGCAAACACATGAACCCTTAAAAATAAATGACAAAATTATACATGAATGTTATTTGGAAGGAGAGGGCCTATAACTTTCATCGGATAGTCAATGAATCCTATGACTCAAATAATATTAAGGAACTACTGTTCCCAAGAAAAATAACATTCAAGATACAATTTCATAAGATGCCTACTCTAGTGACAAGCATTTAAGATAATTTTCTAAGTTTTTGTTAGCTCTTTGACTAAAAAGATTTTAGGAACAGTACCTAAATAACATCAATTTAAAAAAATTATAATTTAAAAAATCCCCAAAGCCATCTGAATAATTTGAGATTTGTGAATGTAACTTAAAAGGGGGTTTGCTTACATTTAGATTCTTCTTAAATGCTTTTTATAATTTTGAAAAAAATAAAACATACCGTTGAGGTGGTGTTTGTGGGCTCTTAAAGACTGTAGCTTTAGGTCTATCAGATGTGGAAGATTTGCACTGCACTTCATCTTCATATAATTCTGCCAGGGCCATCTGTAGGGCAAGAGGCTTGTCATAAGGTATAACACTAGAAATAAATTATTCTATGCAATGTCTGAATAGAACTAACTTGAAATTGAGCAATAAAGATTTCCTATGAAAAAATGAAGGCTGTCATTTCAAAAGGACTCATTTTCAAGACATATTCACTGAGTATGTCGTAGAACTAAATGCCATACGTGTTAGAGTAAAATGAAGTTATAATAACTCTTTAATTATTCTCTATCAAGTAACTTTTCAAAAGCTTCAAAAACTGCCTTAGGTTAGAAATCATTTTCAAATTTGGACCTATATAACTCTCTTCCAATTCTTTCAAGAATTCCTGAATTCCTGTTTCATAATAATGTCAGCTTCTTTCACCAGGTCTCAAAAATAATTTCATTTAACTGTTTTCAAAATCCAAGTACATAAAACAATTTCAAAAGTATTGTTTAAAATTCTCCCAGACATAAATGCCAATTTTAGCAAATGAGTTTCTGAAAAATATAAAACGATGAATTACACATATGGTTTATACAGTATACCATTTAGAAAGCAATACAGTATTATGAAAGTACATTATTATAGATAACTTCAAAATGAAATAGCTATATTTGTTCTCGAAATGTTATTTAAAAACAATATTCTAAATATTTCAGTATTTACTTAATTTTCCCCACTTTTGAGATCTCTGAACACTAACTCAAAATTTATTCCTAAAATCTCTCTGGTTATTCAGTTACAACTGGCATGACCATAAGACACCGGGTGCCTGCTCCCCCAAACAAAAATTAAAACAAAACATAAAATCCCAAACAAAACAGATAAAGTGCTCTTTTTGAAAGCACAAAAATATATGAAAACTATCACTACGAATTCTTCAGTAGGAAAAAAAACAACTGAGAATTAGGGCAAAGTTAATTCCTTGTTTATGGTGCTGAGGCAAACACTGCACCCCTGGGCTACATTCAGCTCCTTTTGAAAATACTACCAGTCGACTTTTAAAATATATACACAAGACAAAACTGAAAGGCTCCATTTTTACCTGTTTTTTTTTAATTTCAACTCTACCCCATGACCTTACACATACATCAACTTGTATTTTTAACCTGGAAATTTTGCCAGATTCCAAATTCCAAATTGCTTTGTAGTCTTAAAGAAATGAGTTCAAACTTAGACACTTACTATATGACCTTTGGTAAATTATTTAACTTCTCCGAGCCTTCATTTTTATATCTTTAAACATCTACAAAAGTCTCATTTGAGGGTCATCTGAAAGATTAATCATAAAGCACACAGCATGTTGGCTCTGTCAGTAGAAGATATTATATTAAAAAATGTTTAAAACTCATTGTATTAGTGATTCATTTTCCCCAATATTTCCTTTCTTTCAATAGTATTATGTATGCATCTCCTACAGTTCTTTACCACTTCATCTCCTCCAAAAAACAAAATCAAACAAAGAAGGAGAAGGGTAGAAATGGACTGACGGCTGTTTTTAAAATTTTCATTAATTTCACTTTCCTGACCTCTCTTCAAAACAGTATTCTTTTATGGATTTCTTTCTAAGCTAACTGTAGTATTGCAGCTCTGTGAAGAACTTCCATGGTTTTCCTATTCTCATCAATGGAAATGTTACTATATTTCAAAGACCTATTTAAGGCAGCTTATGTAAAAGCTTTTATTGTCTTAACTAAATATCTTTCTTCTGTAAATCCTCAGTGCATATATTCTCCCTTTATGACATTTATATTAAACAACATATTGTCATTATAGGTTAATTATCTCTTATATGAAAGGCTTTGGACCAGAAGTGTTTCATAGTTCAAAGTTTCAGATTTTGTAATGTTTGCATAGACTTTATTAGTTGAGCACCTCTAATACAAATGTCCAAAACATGAAATGCTCCAAAAGCCATAATTTAGATGTTCAAACATTCTGGATTTTGGATCATTTCAAATTTTTGGATTTTTCAGATTAAGGAGGGACATTCCATCTGTATTTATGTATTTTTATATTATCCACCCTACTGGAATTTAAGTTTCCTAAATTGTGTGTAATATAATCTGTAACAGGCACACTGAATTATACAGACTATACCACAACACGAATCATAAACACAGCTTAATATAGATTTTTAAATTGAAATATTTGCTGTACTTTTGTACTTTATTTTTTGCTTTAAGATTTAAATAAAATGTTACTTATCCAACAGTGTTTTTCTTCTGTAAAACAAATGAATAAAGCAAATATCTTTGACTCCATGGAATGTGGGTCATTTATTAACAAAGTAAGAATATTGGGAAAATGACAGTAGAGTAGTGAGTCTATCTGCCTGAAAGAACTTACTGTTGTTTTTCATGGAATGCCATTAATTTTTAAGTAAGCGATACTTAGAAAGAATTGATGCCATGTGGTATCATGTATATAGATGCACTAGTAAATATAAAAATTTTTAAATTTATTTTTACAAAACAGTTTATACCACACCAAACACAAAGGGATAATTTAATCAAAACTAATTGAAATACTGGTAAAAACCAATAAAGTAATAATAAAATCTCAAAATTTAGTAAGATGAGATTTCAATAATACAGAGAATATGCTTCATGAGGATGGTGCTCAAAATGTTTTGGATTTTGGAGCATTTCAGGTTTTGGATTTTTGCATTAGAGTGCTCAACTGGAAAGCCTACACAAAGATTCCAATATCCGAAACATTTCTAATCCCAAGCCTACCCTAGATAAAAGAGAGTTAACATGTACTGATAAACTTTCCTCTAGAACTTGGTATGTGAAGAATGTGAAAAGAATCCTAAAGTATCCGGAACACCCTTATCAAGCCAAATCCTAACCCTAAACTGTCATCCTTAATCCAGTCCCTATCCCAAATTCCAACCTATATGGAAACAAACCATTTTCTTTTGACATTATTCTGGAGGAAAACTGGGACAGATGGTTAAGATGGTTAATTTTTAATGACATTAGAGTGGACTAACTGGTGAAAGTTACAGCACATCTGACAAAGAATAAGGATAATAGAGAAACAGTGCTCACCCTCTTTTCAGGCATTAGTGAACCCTTACTCTACTACAACTACCACCTTCAGTTTACACAGGTACTGGGATCAAAGAGGTTAAGAAATTTCTTCTACACCTAAAGAACTAACTTGCCAGACCAAGAGAGAAAACAAAGTGGCTCTCACCACTGAACCAGTTCCCTCAACACCCACTCTGCCTCTTAGGTCCACACTTGATACTATACTGCACCTTAGCCACAAGGCCAAGAAGCGTTAGGTCCACGTTAGAAAAGACGAGGTATGAAACAGTTCATCCTAGTCCTTGAACTGTTTGCACTACTGACTCCACTATGGGCACTGAACTATTACTGACATCCTTTCCTCACCTTAAACCTCTCTCCATCCTCCAAACTCTCCATTTTATCTTGGCATGCAAGGATACTTCACCTTAAAATGCTATGTTAAACGTATTCACATACTACTTCTTTAAAAAGTGTGAATGTCTTCAAAAGGTAAAACGCCTTTTGCACTTCTACCCGGTCAGAACTCCAGGCAGCAAGGCGATCTGACAGCATTTACAGAAAAGGGGAAGGCAGGCATGGAAAAGTACTTAACTGGGAACAACCTGGTCAACCATTCAACTGATTTCGTTTAACCAGTTAATTAGCTACAGGGCACTTCTAATCAGCCAGGGCTGAGTTCACTGCGATTAACACCGTACTAGTTCGCCGAGCCCGGCTCAGGCACTTCCTCCAAGTGCGGGGCGCCCTACGCATCTTCACACCCTCCAACAGCAGCCCGGCTGCGCACGCCTCGGATGCCGATTTCTCGTGCTCTCGCGAGACCTCAGGCGTGCGCTGGACGGCAGGTGCGAAGCAAGTTCTCTGAAGCAGCAGAGGTGTGGCTATAAACCCTTCCCGTCAAGGTTTGTAAGTTCAATCTCGTTTACTTTAAATTACAGTTCCTTACCGCTTTTCTCTTGCTGAGTTTTACCTGCGACTCCACACGGAGGCAGCAAAAAGCCTAACAAGCGGCGTGAGCGCCTGCTACAATGAAGGCGCCGCACCTGCGGCTGGCCAGCGACCGTCCGCGTCCCCAGCACTGCAAAGCCGTCTCACGGACCAGCTTCTACAGCCCGGCGACCTGGCTGCGGGGCGAAGCGCTGCACTGCACCCTTGGAAAGGAGCTGCCGGCTGAGACGCGCCCCAGTCACCCGGAGCGCGCGGCCGGACGGGG